TTTCATTATATTTCATTTTAAAAAAAAATCATTGTCGAATTAAGCACAAGGTATACCAATGATTTGAGGCACCCCTTATAGCCACATCATATCACCTTTCACCCTTCTAATTTACAATCCTTTCTTTATAAACCACTTTGAGCCTCTTCTAACAATAGACCTTTCATTTTTCAACCTACATCTACCTAAGCTTGGGATGGGATGGTGTGCAACTTATGCAATTTTCAAAAAAATCTTGAGTGACTTCAAAAGATTAAAATAGCAAAAAAAATAAATAAATGTGTACAAAAAGGGCAAGTGTTCCAATGTCTTTGACATGAACATGTCTTTGATATGAACACGTCTCAGATTGTGTCTCTTATCGAGTGCTCGGTACCGTGCCTGAGAAACATGAATGCCAAGTGAGTGATAGACCGCATGATCGGGATTACCCACACTTATAAAAATATAAAATGCAAAAGCAAAAAAAAAAAAAAAAGAGAGCTAAAAAAAAGAGTAGAAAGCATCAAGCATAAAAAAAATAAAGATTCAAAAGCAAGGTTGCACACCTTGGGGGCTTATCTAGGGTCTTGAGCCTTTTATCCCCTTCTTCTTCAACCTTTAGCCTAACCACGTTACAACCTTAAAAAGACCTTTTTGAGGTATACACACACTTGTGCGAGGTTCGGCTAGAGCTACGTTCGGCCTGATTCCTAACGGATACGTAGGCAACCTCATATCGAGGTGCGGCCGTAATAAACATGCATTCATATTCACATTCACACATCATGATCATATCAAGGGATATCCTATGCTCATCCTTATCCATGTAGAGCTAGACTTGGGGGCTTGATCCCTACATCATTAGCTTACCTAGCCTAAGAGTCACCACCATTTGACTTTTTTTTATATATCTTTCCACACACTTAGCCCTTGTGGCCTAACTTTAGTGTCACTTTCACACACCGCACAGATACATGACCAAATATCCTTCCCTTAGGAACCCTTTGTCATGAAATCTTAACATAACACTGAAGCATGCCTTGTCATGTCAAAATGCCCAACATCACTCATCAATCATAACTGTCATTGCATCACGAAGTATGAAGTGCTTAATTAGCCTCCGTGCCTAAGTTACCCAAATACTTTCATCATTGAGTCAACCATTGAGATAGCCTATGATGGATTAATCCTTGCACCTTGAGAGATAGTATCAAACAACATTTGACTAAGCTCATTCAACATGCACCTTCAAAAACTTCAATTCTTTTTTCGCGTCTTTCTTTTTTGGGAGAAAGTCGGTACCCTCCACAAAAATGACAGAAAAATTTTGCTTTACAAGTCATGTACACATTGAGTCATGTCGTGTCATATAACCTTGATTTGAGTCTAACACATGTGTCAAACACTTTGAGTCGAGTCGACCTCGAGTTAGTCAATCACAGAGAGTCAAGTTTATACCTTGAGTCGTGTCAAGTCAATGAGTCAAGCGACATTAAACTTTAGGTCAACCCTAAGATAATTAAAGAAATTAGCAAAGTATAGTTAAAAATAAATAAAGGTGCAGCAGAATAGGGAAGACCCTACTCCAGCGCCAGGCGAAAGCATCTAGCGTCTCGCAATAGTTTTTAGCGCTTGGCGCTAGATCCCAGCGTCTGGCGACAAGGCCAATTCTTGGCGCTAGAGATATTTCAGCAGCGACAGAGCTCGAAGCCTCTCAGAAAGGTGATTCGACCTCATACAACAATTTCGGGTTCCTTGGTACGCCAGTTAGCCCCTATGAGCAATTTGACATGATTAAGTAGTCGGTTTGATTACAATCGCAATAGGTGATCGACCTAACGAAATCACTTAGCTTAAAGCGCCTAAGCGTTGGCTCATCACGGAGACACCGACATAATGTTTCACAAGCAGCAAACCGCCAACGTACTGGCATAGCGGAAGCAAAGTTCAAGCGAGCTTTAGAGATCGGCAAGCGTTGGTCTTCGGAAATTTTTCTTCGGAATATTATCGCAACAAACATTCAAGCATCGCAGCTCTTTTGTTCAAAGACGCGTGGACATATCATTCGAAGCTCTTTTTGTTCAGAGACGCGTGGGCATATCATCAAAGCTCTTTTGTTCAGAGACGCGTGGACATTTCTTTCAAGCTCTTTTGCTCAGAAGACGCGTGGGCATCCTATTATCAAGCTCTTTGTTCAGAGACGCGTGGACACATCATTCAGAAGATCATATTACAAAAAATAATAAAGAAAGCTCTATTGTTCAGAGACGCGTGGACATATCCAAAAAATAAACAAGCTCTTTGTTCAGAGGCGCGTGAACATATCCAAAAAAAAAAAAGAAGCTCTTTGTTCAGAGGCGCGTGGACACATCCAAAAGAAGCTCTTTGTTCAGAGAGGAGTGAACATCGAAACAACAAGATGGCATTCCCTAGATTGTGGAGAGTTGTCACAAACAACAGAAGGTGATTTCAAGCGAAATTGTCTTCGATCGTGTTCCCTTAGACGTGGAAGATGGTCACATAGCGGAAGAGGATTGTTTCAAGCGAAGCAATCTTCGATAGTATTCCCTTGGACGTGGAATGTTATAAAAGCGGAAGAGGATCGTTTCAAGCGAAGCAATCTTCAATATTGGAAGCAGTTACAAGCGTAGCGGTTTTCAAGCGGAATGACATTCTCTTGGCAGGAGGTCGTCAAAACAATAGCAATGCGGCAACATATCGGTTGCTTTCAGAGACGTGTGCTCGACTGTGCAAGATACGTGTTTCTTAACTCTTTTATTTGTTTAACTAACGCTAGTTTGCAGGTATCGGCGTTGCAAGAGTGATTTAGGATCGTAGAACGTTCTGAATCATTCTCCGTCCCTGTCGATACTTTGACTTTTGTTTTTGAAACTTATGTTTCTCCAAACTCAGTCAAAGTGGGGGCTTCTGTAGACACCCATTTGTGTCTCCCCAAAACCAAACCCAATGATGAGTACCTATCGCGTCGAATCATAATCGAATGAAGTGAAAGTGTGGAAAGTCTAGTGTTGCGGATAGTTTTAATTTCTTTTCTCTTCTCTTTGTTTTTGAAAACCTATTTTAAGAAAACAACCAATCCAGTTTGGTTGGTCCATGATATGGGTCCAATAGTAGTGTAGTTGGATGGGGCTTGAAAAGACCTTTCCAACGATATATTATAAGCCCAATTCCGATGATATTGAGGAAGTTATGGCCAAATTACTGAACTGGGCCTGTTTTGAGCCTTATATGCGGCCCAATGATCTAGGGGAGGGCCTAATATAGATTTATCATTCCTAATGCAATTAGGAATGGTTTTAGTCTTCTAGATTCTTCTAGAAGGTTCTTTTCATTCCTAATTTAATTAGCATTGATAATTGATTTTTGTTGACTTTTTAGAGTTTTAATTAGAATCAAAGAACCTTTTTTGAGGAAAATACGATTTTATCCTCCTGTACGGTAATTTCTATCTAATTTTAAGAAAACGCGTGAATTTCTGAATCAGCGCCGAACGCCAGCTGTAGCGCTTGGCGCCTGGCGCTAATGTTGGCGTTTGGCGCCAATAGCCAGCGTTGGCGCTAATCCAATTTTATTTGCGTCAGAACTCTGTTTTGATATTTTATCTTTTTGGCTGATTTTCTTTATAAATAACGTCGTAAAAACTCTGTTTTGATTCATCAATTCTCATCAATTCTTATTCACCAACTCTCATCAAGTTTTCTTGATTACTCTCTCTCTCTCTCTTTTCTAAACTAGCCTTCTCTCAAATATAAAAATTCCGCATTCATTAGATTTAGAAATACCTAGCATAATTCGAAGTTGCCTTCGCCCTAGACGTGAAAGGTTTAATTTCTGAGGGTTTGGTCCCAAATCTCTCTTTCAATTATTTAATTTAATTGTTTGTTTATTATTTTCCTTGAAGTTACTAACGTGTGTATTTTGTTATTAGAAAGAGGTACGAGGCATCAAAGTAAGTACTTTAATTGTTTTATTGATGTTATTATGTAGAAATCATGCTTAGATTGTTATTTTGATTCCTAGTATCATGTCTAGGGTAAATTTAATACTAAGTATGATTGTTATGACGCCTTCTATTTTCTTTCCTAATATTCATGTTAGTATCATATTAGGGTTAAAGCTTTGATTTTTATTGCTTAGTGACATGCTAGGGTTTGTTATTAATCTTGTTAGTATCATGCCTAGGGTCTTGCTATTATTATGCTTTAACATGATTATTATGATTATGATTATTATAATTATTATTATGATGATTATTGTTTTGATTATTATTATGATGATTATTTATTACGTTGCTTGATATTTATTGTTATTACTTGATCACACATTTTATGCATGTTTAAAGGGAATTTGTACTTATAATCACGCTTAATAAGATAATTAATAATCTTGTTTAGAGTTAATATGATTATAATTCAAGTGATCGCCAATAATAGTTTTATTTGTGCATTTCAACCAACATAGATAAACAAGTTTAGGGTTAATCATAATGATGGCATGTTAGTCAGAAAGCGCACATGAATACGATCAGAATAAAGTAGAGGCCTATTATTAGGGCAGGTTCAATCTCTTTTAGGTTGGATTTGTACCTTCATCCCCAAACCCTATTTGGTTCAAGACCTTATGGACTTGACGATCTCTTGGATCGCTAAGGGGTGTAACCTTCACCTCGTGAACAGTTTACAAGTTCCTAAAAAACTTGTTGGCGACTCTTTTGCTCTATCTTCTTTCCCTTTGGACGACACCGTACTTTAGTGTATGATCACAGTGGGGTTCAAGCTAGGGGATTAATGCTTGAAATATTCCCTACAGTATAGATCTTGTGAATGCGGAGTTTTGTGCCCCGTGCAATGTCCGGGTTGTTTATGAAGTCTATTTAAATCTATCCAACGTGGTGCAACACTCAAATTTTATTTTATCGAAAATAAAACTCTAAACTATTATCCTAAAACTCTATCCAAATTTGATTCAAAATAGAATTTCAAACTAACTTTTTTTTTTTTTTTTTATCTTATGGAGTCTAATTAAATTTATCCAACGTGGCGCGACATTTGGCGAAAAGTTAGAATGCCAAGTGTCGCTGCCTCGTGACCTAGCTAAAAGTTTAGCTTTATATGATTAGTTATATGATATGATATGATATAGATAGATATGTACTTCGTATTTGTTCATACCTAACTAACCTCCCTTCAAGAGAGTGAGGATTACCTCAAATAATTAAACTTTTCTCCCAATTTCAGAAGATCCTGATAACGTTTTTCACCCCCATTTTTTTGTGACTTTCTAAACACCGAACCCCCCCCAAAAAAAAAAAAAAAAAAAAAAAAAAAAAGCCATTGAAAAGCAAATGTGAAAAATAAAAAACAGACTCACAAATCACAATAGCCCTGCCTTCTTCTCTCTCCTCCTTCTCCATTGAAGCGCACTCAACATCGCAGTTACGTTCTCCATCATTGAACCAGCTTCTGAGGTAAGTTCGTTGTTTTTTCTTTTTGTAATCATCATTTCAATTTCACAATCTAGGGTTTTATTTTGTTTTATTTAATTTGTCAGTGCATAAGTTTAGGGTTCGAAAATCTCAACTATTGCTTCTAAATACTATGATTACGAAAACCAAAATTACGAGCCTAATTGAATCATATATCCTTAAATTATACGATTTTTCGAATCAAATTTGGTTGCTAATGTATTGCACAACCCTTAATCGTTATAATTGAATTAAATTTGGTTGCTAATGTATTGCAAAACCCTTTAATGTTAGGATTCAAGTATTCAACTATGAATTGTATAATTTTTCGAGATAATCGAATCTAATTTTGTTGCTAATGTATTGCACAACTCTTTAATGTTAGGATTCAACTATGAATTTATTGTTTTTTTGCTTGTATACAGTCCTTGATGGAAAATAGACCTGATTTGGAGGATGATGATGATGATTTTAGTGATATCTACAAGGCGTACACTGGACCAATTGGATCTTCTGTAGTCAATGTACAAGAAAAGCCTAAAGTAAATACCAAAAAATCCCAAGCTAGCTCCGATGAGGAAGACGAGCGTGACCCTAATGCTGTCCCGACAGATTTTACGAGTCGAGAGGCTAAGGTTTGGGAGGCTAAATCTAAAGCAACAGAGAGAAACTGGAAGAAGAGGAAGGAAGAAGAAATGATTTGCAAAATTTGTGGGGAATCTGGTCACTTCACTCAGGTAAGGCTCAATGTTGCATGTTTACCTGTGTTATTGTTCTTCAGAGTTGGCAATCAACAATAAAGTTATTATCGATGGTAATTGTATACTTGATTTATATCAACCATGACGTTAATCACTATTAAAACCTATAAATAAGTTAGATTATAATCATGGTTAACAATTACTATTACTTCCATGTTTTATGAATGTTACATGGACTCGAAACAGGTATGTGTCCAAGCGTCTAACTCGGCTATTTTGTGAAAAAAAAATCCATGGTTTTGAACCAAAAGTGATGTGTCCAAGTGTCATACTCAAGTCCGAGTATCGAGGGTCCGACATGGGTAATTAAGGTGAAATGAAGAGTATGACATTAGTTAAGTTCATTTTTTTTTCCTTATGTACTCTACTTGGCTACCACACACACCCACCCTACTACTTGGCTATCACACACACACCCAAAAAAAACAAAAGTAGAACCGATGAACACTATATTTTCTTTGACAGCAACAATGGGTATGGTGAACTTGCTGGTTTTGATGAAGGCCAAATTGAAAAGCAGTAACCACCATTGTCTTAAAAAAAAAAAAATTATAATAAAGAAAAACCAAAAAACAAAACCCCAACTCACATTGTTAACTTGGAAATCTTCAACCCCATAAAATCTACTTGGATGGTTAAAATATCATGAAGATTTGAGATACCCGGATGAAAATTGAAGCAGGATTAGAGGTCTCAATCTACAAATCAATTCTTTTTAGGAAAGAAATTGTGGGAATGGGAAATTAACACACGCTGCTTTAGCACCTGAACTTATTCAATCTTTGAAGAAATTGCTGGGAAAAACCTACAATCTACGAAGAAAAAGAGCTAATGATAGAGACAAAGAGATGTGAAACCATCATTATATCAAGGTGGTGGGAGAATTCTTTATAAAGGAAGGGGCAAACTCATCTTAACTCTGGAATTGTTTACTGTAGCTAGCAATATAAGTTATTATTATGATTAGACAATGGCCATAAATGTCTTGGTTGATATAAATCAAGACTTCAAGAGTATGGAATTAACATTGATGATAACCTCGTATTATTTTTTTTTTCCCTCCGATTACCAAAATGAAAAGTGCAATAATACCGGGTAACCAAAAAGAATTTCCCTTAATGATTATATCCTAAAGCACATAAGGTTCTTTGAAGAAAGTAAGTTATATAAGGTTCTTTGAAGAAAGTAAGTTATAATAGCTTCCAAAATATGATGTGGGTTTACACCAATCCTAAGCTCCATCTTAAATAAGAGATACTGGGAAAGAATGATAAATCTCTCTCTGATTGATGAAGGGTCCTCCATAAAAAAACCTCTTGACTGCATACATCTGAACCCCTTGAGCAGGAGGTTCCGGTATAAACATTGGGGTGATGATATTATTGTCAGATTTTATTTTCTTAGTAGGTTACATGGCCATATCTCCTGATGCGATTTGTTGTAAGGCCTCTGTTTGCTAATTTATGCTGCTGTATGATATCCTTTTTTTTTTTTTTTTTATTGTACTTGTGCTTTTAGCCTAGATTTACCAACTCTTTGCTTCAATGTTGCTGGACTATGAAACAATTGCAGGGATGTCCATTTACCCTTGGAGGGAATCGCAACTCCCAGGATTTCTTTGAAAGGGTGGCTGCAAGAGACAAGCAAGTGAGAGCACTTTTCACAGATAAAGTGATCGAGAAGATCGAGCTAGACAATGGCTGCAAAATCAAGATGGATGAGAAGTTTATTATTGTTAGTGGCAAGGATAGATTAATCTTGAGAAAAGGTGTAGATGCAGTGCATAAAGTGATTAAAGATGAATGTAATGATAGGAGCTCTCCAGGTTCTCATACAGGTAGGTCTAAATCGCCAGAGCGCAGTCCTATTGGTACTCGGTTTTCAAGCTCAGAACCCCGAAGATCTAGGTCACCTGAGCGCAGTCCTTTCAGTAATCGATTTACGCGCTCAGAATCTCAAAGATCTAACCCTAGCCCTAGAAATGCATCACAGTTTCATCAGAGATTTGTCAGACAAGATAGAGGTCTTGAGGACCGTATTCGTGGGGATCTGCAGAAACCTTCTAGAAATTCTCCAGGTAGGGCAACTAAAAGCTATACCTGTAACGCTATTACAGAACTGGTAATTAGTGACTATATTGCAGTACTATATCTCAACATTTTGAGCTCTATTATAATGTTTTATGGACTGTCATCTGTATTGTACTTGATTTTCTAGTAACATTGCATGTTGTTTATCTGTGATTGCAGCAAGAGGTAAGTTCTTTTACCCTACCATGTTGGATATTGAAGTGAGTTTCGCGAAGGGGTCTGATTTTTCCAAGTTGTCTTCAAAAGTTACTGTAAAGTGCATCAGAGGGATTCTAAGTATAGTTTATCTAGTTAGAGCTACTATTTATGTTAGGCAATGCTGAAACAAATGGTTAACATAGTATCATTTACTGAAGCTTATGTTAGTGATGGAGGACGAGGTCGTGCAAGCCGTTCGCGATCTCCAGCCCGTGCCCCTTATAGTGGCAGTTCATATACCACATATCAGGGACCCTACAGATCCCATGGTTGGGAAACCGAGAGACGGGGATATGATGTCCATGCTGATAATAAGGTTGAGCATCCCTTATTGCCACAAACACTTGAGGATGTGGAGTTGGAATACAAAAGAGAGGCCATGGATCTAGCCAGACTTCGTGATCAGCAAGAAGACGAGGAGAATTACAAGCACCGTGAGGTATGTGTGTCTATCAGTGTGTGTGAGCTTTTGTAATGTCAATGTGTGTGTGTGTGTGTGTGTGTCCCTTGTATGTCTGTATGCTTATGTGTGTTTCTCCTTGTGCTGCTAGTATTGATAAATTTTAAGGTCTGTACAAGAGTATTAGTCCAATTCTTACTTTCTTAGAGCAAATGCTTTTTGTGTAAAAATTTAGTGTAGATATTTAGTGATGGCTTCACGTGAGGGTTGACTTTGTAATAGTGCATAAAAAGTTGTAAATCCTGACAATTCTTGCTGAGAAACAAAGGTAAGCTACCATTTGTTATGAACATAGAATTAAATATTAAGCCATTTTGTTGAACATATATGGGCTGTTTAGCTGTTGGAGCCTTGGAGGTGTAACTATCTGGCTCTGTACTCTGAAGTGTTTAAGGAGCAATCAGTCTGTTGTAGGTTGTTTTATTGGTTAAGTTGTACTACTAATTGCTTTGTTGGCAACATTATTGTTGCAGCCTATAAGCAAAGAGTGACATCACAACATTCAAAGCAGTATAACTCCATATTACTTTATCCGTTGTTGATCTGAACCATAAGATATTGAAAATTGCATCTTACTCACAACATTCTCTCCCTCCACAAATTAAATTAAATTCGTAAGCTCATATTTTGGTTATTTCTGTAAAACTTCATAATAACTCTTGTGTATACTTCAAATATATAATTGCGCTGTTGGTCAACTTCGCTTAAGTGTAATTTTTCCATGTAGTCATTTGCCCATTTGTCGTCGTTAGCTCACGTCGTTGCTTGTATTCCCTTTGTCCTTCATTGTTTGCCTCATTTCTATTTTCTTTTGTGATGAGGACCACAACTTCACTCTCACATAATATATAGTTGGCCCCATCACTTCTGTTTGTTATCTACTCCACTCAACCAAAAATCAACAAAGTGAAAAGTGGCTTGGGAGCTAAAAATTAAGGACGGAAGGAGTACTTAAGTGGCTGTTTGTTGATGATATTACTGTTGATATATGTGTATTCAAATTGATACGAATCATCTTTATTAAAATGACAAATGTTTCACTCTGTGGTGCTCAAAATAATATTAGGTTATCAGAGACTTGAGAGAGACTTACATGAAAAGGCTTGCTGGTTTACGAAGCTCTCATGCTAAACAGTGGGATGAGTTCCTTCACTTGGATGCACAAAGACGTCAGCAGGTGCACCAGCAGCAGATGCCAACTTCAGGTTTTGGTGGTTATCAGCAGTCCACTTTCTCTGATTATGATTCATTACACAGTCAGCCCTATGCTGGGTCAAACTTTCATGTAGAGCCAAGGGGCCAATACACAAACCCTGCTGAGCACTTTCCACACCCTAGGCCCCGTGATGCTTACACTGATATTCAGCATCAGAGACTAGATGGTTATGGGAGAGCATACAATCGATATTAAGTAGTTATGCTGAAAAAAAACATTGGTGAGTGTGCCTTGCTCTTCAGAATAAGTTCATGTATATTCTTGCTTTTGTTTTTCCCCCTTGTAAATGCACCGTCTGTTTTACAAGTACTTGGCTCCATGTTTTGGTAAGATTTGGAGTTATAAGCATTCCTTGTTAGGTATCTTAGATTCACCTTGGGATCAATTGGCTCTACTGCATTGTATGATGTTAGCTTATAATTATAACAATACTTTATATGTAGAAGGATTAGAGGTGCTGGAATTTAATGGATGTAGGCCATTTCTTTATTAACAATGCAATAAATTAAATGTTCACTTCAAAACTTTTCAGGGATCAGGGCTTGATGATTACATATGCTAGTGGAGACTGAACCCTAGGTAAGTTCTATAGAGTTCTTTTTAGGTTGTCGAGAGATTAGCAAAGATCATCATTATTGTTCGATGCCCTTGTGGTTCTGCCTTGTAAAACCACTTGCTTTGTTAATTTTGACCCTTGTTTCGTCCTGTTGGTTTAGCGATAATCAACCTATGATGTTAAACCTTGTTTGGGTTTGGTCATGTCTTTGAATTGTTGGATCAAATTGAATGGCGATTTGCTCTATTTAACAGTGGTGGTTTTTCATTCAAACACAGCTGTTTGAACTTATTCTTATATCTTTACACATTTCTTGGAAGCCTGCCTTTATGATCACAATTTCAAAATATTTGCAAGGACGGATATCTTTGTGAAATTGAGATTAACATGGACAAATCTTTTGGAGGTTTGTTTCTGGCAAGGTATAAGTTTTATTGTTAGTATCCATCTTTTTTTTTTTTATCCATCTTTTGGATTATACTTTTGTTTGACAGTCATTTTCAAGCTAGCTTGAACAAGTTAGCTCAAGATTATTCTTATTCTTCCATGGATCATTAGTAGTATAGAGCCCATGGCAGCATTAACATGTCTGCATGATTGAAGACTTGATCAGGTGTTTGATCAAATGTCTACGGCGATGGCTGCTTTGATGTTCATCAATGAACCTATTAAGGTTCATTACGACTATGGCTGATTTTATGTTCATCAGTAATTGCATGAAGGTTCATTTCAACTATGAATGTTCGGTTCAAGTATGGTTGATCATCAAAATGAATTTCATATTTAATTTGAGTGATAAGTAGTGTCTACAATCGTGAAGAAAAATTGAATTTTATTGACAAACCACTTGTCTACAACCACAAATGAAGCATTTATTGAGGTTTATCGATGTATGTTTAGTTGAATATGATTGATATATTTTGTTATATTATTGTATGAGAAGTTCAAAGAAATAAATTTAACCAGTGTTAAAAAAAATCAATAACATTAAGGTATTCTTTGGACAGGTTAAAAACATTAAGTTCGTTAATGTTCTCCTCAGATTGAATGGTCATTTCATCTAAGTGACATTTACCATTTTAATAATTCACCAAATGCTATTAAAGTTTTAAAAATTCATCAAATGTAACTGAATTTTTTTATAAATTCACTTAGTCCCATGAATGATTAACGATCGAGTATTAAACCAAAACACATGTCATGATATGATTGATTTGGAGATAATTTTCTCGATTTTCGTGACAAAATTTGTTCGGTAAAGTACGTTTTGGGAGTTATTTTGTTCCTGATGGAATCAATTTAAGCTCAAAATTAGCAAAAGCAATAACGTAAATGTCCTCTTTTTTTTTTTTGAAGGAAATGTAAATGTCTTGTTTTGTGTGTAAAAATATCTAGATTAACGAGTCATTATTTTTTAACCATGAAAATTGATCGAGTAAGGTTTTAGAGGTTATTTTGACCAAAATGTCTAACGGAGTTGATGGCCGTTAGTCATTAATGACACACAGTGAATTTTTTTTAAAACTCGGTGACATTTGGTGAATTTTGAAAACTTTGATGGCGTTTGGTGAATTATTAAAATTGTCAGTGACATATGGTGAAATAGCCATCATTGCATAAGTTTTTTTGCTAATCACCTAATGATGTTGCGAGTGTGCAATGTACAAAGCACCGTATTTGTATTTGTAACTTTTTTTAGGAAAAGTAAGAAAAATAAAAATCAGGAAGCCCTCATGTGGGGAAATATTTGTGTTTGTAGTTGTTCCAAAAAAAAAATTAATTACGAAATTTTAAAGTAGTTGTTGAAGAAAATTTAAATTAATTTCATTGGAACTATCGTAGCTTAGGAATAACCGAATATAGTACAGAACCCAATCAAAGAATGATCGACTTGTGTTAGCTTAGTGGATTTGTAGTATTTCACTTCTTCATGCATCCATCGCACATTTGCAAAATCAAAACAAATGTTACTAATCCTAATCATGTTTCCCGCAAATATCACAATGGCTTTAATATTTGGTGATAGATAGGTTAAAGCCCTTCATAAAGATGGCACTAATATTTGGTGATAGATAGGTCAGCCCGACACGGAAAAAGTACGACACAACACGACATTGTGGGGCTGCCTTTATTTGGGAGAAACATGATGTGGTAAGACATGATCAGGTTCGACACGACAAAGCACACTAAAATCAATGCAATTTTGCTAAGGCACACAAGTCTGGCACAACACGGCCCAACACGATGACACGTGGGCCTGGGCCATGCACATGCCAACCTTTTGAAAACTTCAGCCCAGCACGTTACGACATAAAATTCATGGGCCAAGCCATGGATCAGGCCTAACAAACCCAAAAACACGTGGACCTGGCACGGAGGAAATCCAAATTGATATCCTATGTCAACGAGGAGCGTTGATATAGGGGCGGCGTTGTCATTTCACTCATTAAATGAAGGTCAAAATTGGAACAGATATGAAAACCCCCTTAAAACCCCGTTTTATGTCTTTTGTTATTGATGGGGGGTCGTCGAGACAACCTTAACATCATTAAAGGAATTTTCTCTCTTCTGCAACAGTGACCCTTAATGGTTTTTTACACCTTTCTTCTTCATTTCGACTGAATTAAGTGGTTGTGCTTGGGATTTTTGATGATCAATACGGTTGTGTACATCGTATAATGAAGATTGTGGATTTCGAGGAAAGCATGAGCAATGTTGTGGAGCTCAATTCCTTTGATGATGACAGAATCAAAGTTTCATTAACTTCCAAAATGAAGGTATTATTCGATTCATAAATTGCTAGATTAATATGTTGCATTTGTAACGAAATTGCATTGAAAATTGAATTTCATTGTGGTACAAGATGAAGTATCAATTGCGTCGCACACATTGTTGTTTTCATTTTTAAGCTGGGAAATATTGTTACTTGGATATTTCGGGTTAAAGGATATCACTTAGGGCTTCACTGTCGAAATTTTGCAAATTCTCTCCCCTGCACTTCAAATTTACCCCAGGACAACCACACGAACTGCAGTAGTGAAATGATGACGAAGCTAGAATTATTGCTTTTAGTGTTTGTGTGGTGGTGTTACCGAATTAATTACCGCCGATAATCATTGATGCTGATCTTATGAAGATTTGTCTTTACCCAAACTAGTTATTCTCTCTCCTCCTCTGCAATCTTCGATCTCATTAAAATTGAGCAGACGGAGTTGAATTTTCCGTCCAAACAAGTACCGTTACAAGATTTGAATAAAAAATTGCGCCAAAGGAGTCCTACTCAGCATTCCACTACTTTTCATGTGGGTTTCAAAATAAGTTCCAATTAATTACGAGATTGCCATTATATTAATGAAATTTTGTTGATATAACATATCAATGGAGTCTGGCTCCCTGGCACGAGGCACGACCCGACATCTTGCCTACCTTGTAAAGTACATTATACTCGTATAACCACATACGGAGAAACATGGAATGTATACTCAAATTCTACTCGTTAACTTAAACCTTCAAAGTTGACCATCCCCCCCACCCCCTAAGGAATTTTAAAGGGAGGAAAGTTAGGCATTTGTAAATGCATAACATTGATTAAAATATTACTAAAACACATGATAGAGAAAGAAAAGAGGAGAGAGATAGGAAGAGAGAGGTATGTAGGTGGGCCTTACCTATTTTTTGGTCGGAATATATCACGTGATGGGGGACCACATGTTAATTGTTCCAATGAAAGTTTATATGGTACCATTGAATCCTCCGTGGTACTATTTATGCATAAATTTTGTACAACTGAATGCATATATAATACCATTATGTGCATATATAGTATAACTGTATATTCAGTGGTACCATTGGATCATCCAATGATACCAGAATATGCATTTATTTGTACATATGTATAATTACATAAATACCCCTTGTTATGTATTTGTAAATGCCTAACTTTCCTCCATTTCTAGCTCCTCCCCACCCCCCATCCTTCCTTTGTTTGTCTCCCAAATCTCTCCCTTCTCTTCTTTTCTACCTTTAATTTTCTGTCTTTTACTTTTCTATCCCTTCTTTCATTTTGAAGTAGTAATTTTGCCATACATTATATTTATAATATAATTTCACAAGAACTGTTTAGTAAGATAGTTTATCACAATTTTTTCACAAGTTAATGTAATTCAAAATTTTTAAAATGACTACCATATAAATTGATAGACTAAATTGTCACATCAATACATTTTGTTTGTTTGTGTTTTTTTTTTTTTTTTTTTTTTTTTTGCACTTTCTCTCTCCATATTCAAATCTTTTGATTTCTTTGTCTAACTCTAACCTCATACCTAGACACATTCATATCCTCCAATTTCTTCAGATAAACACCAATTTAAGCTTAAGATACTGCACAGTAAAACATAAATTATGGAAACTCAAAATTTTTCTAGTTTTTAAAATTTCTGCCAGACTTCCAGCCAATAACAATTGTGCTTTTGTCAAAAAAAAAAAAAAAAAAAAAAAAAAAAAAAAAAAGTGCCTATTTTCTGAACCATAGTAGAACTTTCGTATTTTGAGAGCAACCTTTCTACATTTTTAAAAGTGTTTTAATGTATTTATCTTATATTCAATCTATGTTTGATTATTGACAAAAACATCCAGAAACTAATTCCAATCTTTCATCTGGCTTACTCAAGAAATCAATCATAAATGCATTGCACACAAATAAAATATTTTTTTATATATATATAAAAAAAAAAACAGTAATACAAATTGCAAGCTGAAGCTCCACAAGTAATATCATAGAACCAAAAACAATTTCAAAAATTAAGCGAGAGCCAACAAAATGGTAAAGTCTACAAGAGGATATTGAATTCCAATTCAACCAAATTCTGGAACACATAACCAGAGATTCAAATAAATGACGATAATACACTAATAATCCACAATATAATACTTTTAGATCATGATTCAAAGACATACAAATCAGCTATCAGGCAGTTTCATCGTTGCCAATTCAGCAGGTGGCCGCAAAGTGCAAACCATCTCTCTTGTCTTCCCAAAGTAAACCTATTCAGATTCAGCAGCATAACACATAGCTCAGTAAAACATTCTTAAGTATACTTCCTCCAACCCAGATTAGTCATCACATTGTCCCAAGTCTCCCAACCCAACCCTAATACTTACGGTGACCATAATAATGTATACTGTATTATTTTCCCCTTCCCGGCCATCATATTCTGAATAATTTAAGGATGGCATAGCAGAAAATGTAATCATATAAACCATTACTGTTAAGCATATGTAACAATTTTTTCTAGATATCCTATATAAGAATGTGAGACTATGCACAGGTATAAAGCTGCCCACTTCAAAGTTCAAACATAAACATTCTAGGAGTAGAGTGGGTGCATTGAACAGGCATGTCCCATAAACTATCAAAAGCATCAAATTTTCAATCATGCGTAGTACCTGATCCAGGGAGTTTCGAAGCTTGCCTTCCAATTCTTCAATCATTTTTCCCATGTTACAAAGATGACCTTCGGTCACTGACAGTTGCACACTCATCTACACCACGAAAAGAAAACTTAAGTACAAACCTAGAAAAAGGATTTAAGTGGAAAATATGAAGTATTCTGGTATTTGCCCCAGCGATCACTGTATTATAATAACCAGTCAAACAGCTTAACATGATCATATCAAGGGGGCAACACAGTGTAAAGTTGAGATTATAATGGTCACAGTATCGTTTGCAGAACAAGTACATTACCTGTCTTCTAATAGATCCAGATAAGCTGAATGTCCCGCAGGAGTCACTATTTGTAGTCAAAGATAGCATGACAGTACTGGTTAAACAGTACCTTGCAGTTCCTTCATCCTCAGGTCCCACCTATATTGTCATTGAAATAATTTGGTGCTTGATGAGTAAATGACACGAGGAACCATCTTTGGGAAAAGGAAAATGGTAAAATAAAATGAGGTTGCATAGAATTGTAATTCACAAGTAGAAGATCAGTAGACATACCTCAATAACATGGATGGCATCCCACTGTCCTTCATGCAAATAACCTCTTCGCCCATGACCAGACTTTGAACCATCTAATACACAGAATGAGTCCACAGGGCAGTCAAACATTAAAAACAAGTATGCATTACCCTCATAAATTTTGAATTGTCAACTTTACCCCCCCCCCCCAGCACAAACAGGCGCAAGCAATAACTGAATGTTGAGTGACCCAATTTAGTTTTTTCTTCTTCTTTTCATTTCAGTTAACGGAAGATTCAGTCAGGGAAAAAGGTATAGAATCACCTTTCTTTATCAAGAAGCATGCGACAAATCCTTCATTATCATCTTCCCACATATAAACAGATGAAATTCCACCTTCATAATACCTAGCATTAAAAGATAATTTATTTACCTCAAACCCTTAAAAAACCAGCGCAGAAAGAAGAAATAGATAGAAGGGGCCTTGAAAAAAAGGCCAAAAAAAAAAAAAAACAGAAAGAATACTGACAGTAATAAGCATTGCCACTGAACTAGAAAACCAAGTACGAGGCAAGTAAAGGACCTCACTGGTCACAATATACAGTAAAAACATCATTGGCTTCAATTTCGAGGTTCCTCAGCTCTACAGAAGGATAAAGGCCATCCTCCAATGGTGGCTGGTACTTATTTGTCCATGGCGACCTATAATGAAAAAAGGGGAAACAAAATTGAATTACAGCTTTGAAACAGTGCTACAGAAAAACAGTTAGAAGAGACAACATTCACTAGGACAAGCATCAACTCAACAGGCAAAGAGCTATGTAAAGATTCACCATGGTATCGCCAGTATGCCAATGAAATAAAATTTCAGTTAGTCAATGGACTCACTAACCAGAGAGGCATGTTTAACACATAACAAAGATTAGCTTTATACTTTGTGCTATTGTATATGAGAAATGCCAATGAGCTAAGCACAAATCACTGATGCAATACTTAAAATAATGATAAAGATAAAAAATAAAAAATAAAAATAAAAATAAAATAAAAAACGAGTAAAACCTTCTACATTCTTGATCACATAAAACGTGCTTCCGCAAACCAGAAAATAATGTTTTAAGAAATTAAAAATGTATTGATAATATAAACGGGTAAGAAAATAATGTATGCCAGCCAACTTTATCACCTGTAGGAATCAGCATCTCTGTTATATTCACACAATATGAACTCCTTTCCACTTTCTTGATCACATAAAACCTGCTTCCGCAAACCAGAAAATAATCTACTTAATCTGGCATCCTGGATACCCATAACATATGACATCATAGCGCAAAAGACGATGTGATAAAATAAAATAGCTAAAAGTTAGCAAGATACTCAAATAAAAGCCTCCAAAAGAGAATTTATACAAAATGAAAATTACTCAGTTTACCAGGAGAGAGAGAGAGAGAGAAAAAAAAAAAAAAAAAAAAAAAAAAAAAAACCCATCCAAATCAAAGTAGAATGTATAATTTCCAGCAAATATCACCGATAATTCTAACAAATTAATTATCTTTTCTTTGAACTGTTGGTATATTAACATGCAAGCTTCTTACACTCTATTATGAGAAAAGGACTGCCATGAATAGCAATAATCTTTAATGGCGCATAAGAAAATTCTGATTCATTTCCAACCACAATTCCTCATAAATTTTTTTTCCCACTCGTTAACATAACTACATAAGCAGATAACTTTTGTAGGCTAAAGCAGTTAAAGAAGAACCAAAGCTTTAGGGATCACATTTGTTTTTGAGGGTGGTCCAGGATAACTTCAAATTGAGGCTTGGAAAAGCGGACTCAAACATCTAAAAGTGGATTTAACAATCAGGAAGTATATACTCCGTAATTATTAAAAGTTTAAGTTAATTCATGATCAAACACACTACTCAGAATTAGCATCCAATAGGATTGACTTTCAATCTATCAAGTACTTGTATATAGAAATTAGAAACCACAAGCAAACCCTAAACAAATCCAAAGGGCAATAATAGTTGCAATAAACTCAATACATTGATCACAGAACAGTTTAAAGCATATAGAAAATCCCACTGATTCAGATTCTCTAAGTTATGCTAAATTACATCAATCAATAGTATACTCAAATAATAATCCTCTACGGCTTGGTTGAAGTGAATGGGTCGCAATGTACGATGGTGTTAAATAAAGCAGCCCAAGATTGCAGATGCGAAAGATCCGATTCGAGGCAACAACTGTAACCCTTTGTGATTATATATGTCACACCCATACAAGTTTCTTATTAAACCTGCACATCATTTCTATTTTGTAACAAATTTACCCATAAAATCAACACCAAGTCAATAATCAATTCTGGCATTAGCCTACCAGAAATTCTTACTAAACTGTTCATATCCAAACCCAATCAATACAGAATTCTACACACATTCAACAATAGATAAATCCACAATCATAATTCTGCATAAATCAATAGACAAAGCAAATCCCAATACACAAAATTAAAACCCTAAACAAAGATTAACACCCAAAACCCATAAAGTCAAAATCAAGCAAGATCAAATAAAACCCAACAAAATACAACATCTTTCAATCCATAAAAAGAAAAAAAAAATCCATGAAATTGAAAGAAAAGTAGATGAATTATCAGAAACAGGGGTCAAAACCTGGAGAGGTTGATCGACTTGAGAGAGGAGATCAGAGGAATGCTCAGGCATGAGAGAAAGAAGAGCAGAGAGAGCGGTATCAGTGTGCTTAGGATGAATCCTTCGCATCAACCCCATTGCAGCTTCCATATTTTCTTTGTTTAGTGGGTTGTTTGATCAACCCAGAAAATGAGCACAAAGAGAGATATAGTAGGCTTTAGTTTAGAGCTGTTCATGGACGGGTCAACCCGCTAAACCCGCCCAACTCGGCCCGCAAAATAAGCGGGCTTGGACAACCATTTTGAAAAAATTGTTAATTTGGGCGGGCTAGGCCCGGCCCGTTAATATAAATGGGCGGACACGGACCAATAAGTCTATTGTGCACCCTTGTCCTGGTCCATCTAGGATAGCTGGACCACAAGCGATTGTTCAGATTTTATTACCAAATGTTCAAAAGTATGAACGTGGTGCAGTGTTTGGATTTTTATACAAAATGTTCAAAATTTACAATTGTTCAGATTTTTTTACAAAATGTTTAATAGTAAAGGCATACATTGAGATTGTTCAAATATTTTTACTAAATGTTCAAAATTTGCGAGGTTTCGATTTTTTTACTTAATGTTCAAATTTTGCAATTGTCCAGATTTTTTTACTAAATGTTCAAAAGTATAGGCGTGGTCATTGCGATTGTTCAGATATTTTACTAAATGTTCAAAATTTGCGATGTTCGGATTTTTTTACTAAATGCTCAAAATTTGCAATTATTCAGATCTTTTTACTGAATGTTCAAAAGTATAGGCGTGATACATTGCGATTGTTCAAATATTTTCACTAAATGTTCAAAATTTTTGATGTTCAGATTTTTTTTTAATGTTCAAAATTTGCAATTGTTCAGATTTTGCTTACTAAATGTTCAAAAGTATCAGATAATCGATCATAATAGATACGAATTGGTTGATCGAATTAACTTCAACAAATTCAATTGATATTAGAACAATGATTTCATCTACAAATTCATCTTAAATAAAAAAAATACATACAAATTAATGAGAACTGTAAAAACAATCAGGTAATCGATTACGAATTGAAATCAATCAAATTAGCTTTCAAAATTCAATTAATATTAAAACAATTATTTCATCCACAAATTCATCTCAAAATCAAAAAAAAAAATTAATAGTGATCACAATGAGTTCATAATAACAAACCTGGATTAATATCTTTGGGAATTTAAAATTGTTCCATCACGTTAAATGCTGAAATTTAATGGAGAAAAATCAAAGAACAGAGGAGAGAGAAAATAAGAATTTGAAAAAAAAATGAATGAAGTAAATTCAATAAAGAAATAAAAAGTGATTAGATTAAAAAAAAAAGAGAGAGAAAGAGAGAGTTTCTGTTAAAAAAAATAATAAAATAAAAAATAAATAAAAAACAAAAAATAAACAAAATTTTGTAAAGATGGTGGGAAGAAGAAGAAGAGAATGAAGTTGTGTTTCATTTATATAAGCTTGTGTTATATTAGGGGTCTAGTTATTTTAGATGAACTAGGGTTCATAGAAGAATTTGTAGACACGGACAAGACAATATGTACCGACATTGGGGTGAAAGTAAATTGGATAAAAACCGAAAACCGAACCAAACCAAACCGAATAAGCAATTCGGTTCGATTTTTTTCGGTTTTCGGTTTGGATCGGTTTGAAAAAATGGAAACCGGAATATATCGGTTTGGATTCGGTTTTGGGATTCGAAAAACCGAAAACCGAACTGAAGTTTATTAAGCCCACTAATCCCAGCCCATTTTCCTACATATGTATATTCAAAACCCTAAACTGTTCCCCTCTTTTCCCATTTCCCTTTCACTTTCTCTCGGCACCTTCCTCACCAAATCCCTAGATTTCCCCTCTTTTCTCCCTCACCACCTCACTCCGTCCGTCCACCACCACTCTAGAAGTCCACTTAAGGTATCTCACCTCCAGTTCTTGTTTCGGTGTTTGTGCTCTCAACATATCTCAAAGTTGTTCGCTGGCCGCTCGTGTTCCATTGTTCGTTTTCCCTCATATCACCACCACTTCACCGCCGACCACCACCACGTCTCCTCACCACCACCTCTCTGGTCAGTCACTCAAAGGAAATGATATTAGTAAAGAGGTGCAGAAGCAGAAGATTTTATTTTTCTATTTAATTTTTTTATAACTCAAAGGAAATTATATTAGGAAATGAATAGATCTGAGGTTTTGAGCCAAATTATTGAAGGAATGCATGAAGCAGAAGATCTGATTTATTTATTTAATTTCTTTTTTAATCGGTGGACAAATTTATAATGGTTGATTGTATGTAATTAATTCTCAGTTTAGTTTGTGTAATTTTGTGTTTATAATTATAAAGATTGCTTAGTTTTCTTATACTTCAATTTGCATCTGGTAAAAAATTCGGTTTATGGATCGGTTTCGGTTTGCTAATCAGAAATTCGGTTCGGTTTGGTTTGGACCGAATTAAAATTCGGTGTGGATTTGGATTGAAAAATGTAAAACCGAATTATTTCGGTTTGGTTTCGGTTTGGGTCATAATCCAAACCGAACACCGAACTTTCACCCCTATGTACCGTGGGCTAGCCCGCTCGGCCCGTTTATTTAAAAAAGTAATAGTTTAATGATTTTTTAGTTAGTTGATTATGTATGTAGTATATTTTAGAAAATAAATACAAAGAGACTATATTGGACTCTAACCTATTATTAGCTACAACTATTTATTTCAATTTTATATTTAATCATTATACTTGTATTAAATAAGTTCATTCTTTCCTTTTTTTTCACTAACATATGTCACAAGTTAAATATGTTTTTTTCTAGTATCATTAGTGATCAAGAAATTTTTAAGATAACTAAATCGAAATAATATTAACATATGTAAATGATAAAAAAAATAATTAGTGTTAAATATTTGTAAAACAAATATTTTAGGCCCGTGAGCCCGCGGGCAAGCCCGACCCGTTAATAGAGCGGGCTTGGACAATTTATCAAGCCCGTATAAAAGGGCTCGGGTTAGCTAAAATTAGCCCGTTGGACAAAAAATGAAGTATAGGCCCGACCCGTTTCCCGTCCAAGCTCGCAAACGATCACCTCTACTTTAGTTCGAAGCAATAAGCAATGTGGTTATGTGGGTAGTGCAATCTCAGAAAGAATCGCATACCCTTGTTGCCTCTAAAGAGGGTGTTTGTTTGTAGGAATTGTATGTGAGATAAAAATTAAGGCCCTGTTCTTTTGAACTTCTGGCAGAGCAGAGCAGATTAAATTTCAGCAGATACGATTTAGGCGAGTGAAAACATAAATATATGTATACCATATTTAACATATATTAATAGTAGAAAGATTTTTTTTTTTTGACCCAATGCTAATTGTAGAAAGATAAAAGGCAACGATTTACTTATATTTATTTCACAAAAATTTTAAAATAAAATGATTTAATGATTACTAATGATTTTACTTATAAATTTATCTTAATCATATATTTGTTACCCTAAAAATAATAATAGTATACAAAGTACTACTTGAAAACAACCTCTTTTTTTTTTAAATCTTAAAATGTATGGAAAGATTTGAAAAATAATTCAACTCAATGAACTAACAATCAACATAAAATGTTTCTACATATTGTGATTCTAATATCAAATGTTTATAAAAGAAATTGTTATTAATTGTTATTATTATTATTATTATTATTATTATTATTATTTATTTGAAAGAATTGTTATAATTATTAGAAATTATTAATTAATAATATTTTTTAATATTAGTTCTTAATAGTTTGAATTATTAAATATTATTATTGATAATTATTATTATTAAATATTATTATGATTAATAAATATTAATTATTATTAATATTAATAATTATTAAAATTATTTTTAATATTAATAATTATTATAATTATTCAAAATAATAAATTATTATCATCAATACAATATTAATTATTATTATTGAATATTAATTATTATTGTGTTATTATTAATTATTATTTGAAAATAGAGCAGAGCAGATTTCTTTTAAGCAGAGCATAGCAGATTTGATTTGAGCATAGCAAAGCAGAGCAGAGCAGCTCTAAAGAACGGGACCTAAGACTCTTTCCAATGGTGAGACTCAAGTGAGTATTTTTAAGAGAGAGGGAGTATTTTTTGCAATGTATACCAATAAGTTGGTATCTAAACTTAGCAACTCTAAAATAAAGTTGCTAAGTTTAGATACTCAACTTTGAGTCTCATTTTACAAAAAGTGTGGGCCCTTGTTAATATTCTAATATATTTTGTAATTTATTTAAGTTTTACCTTTTTTATATGATTTTTTAATTTTACAATAATTTATGGGCCATAAATTGAAAGTGACATTTGTATATTTTAGAGAGTCTCACCATTGGAAAATTAAACTTAACATGAGTTGCTAAATTGAGAAGTGGGTATGATCTCACCATTGGAGGTAAAAAACAACTCATTTTGTATTTCAATACTCAAAGTTGAGTCTCACCATTGGAGATGGTCTAATAATCCCTTGTATCTTATAATCCCTTATTTATTTAATGAGAATTGTTCTATCCCATATGAAAGGGATAGGGATAAAAAAAATAAAGTTATCCCTCTATTTTTGTAAGAAGGGGGGCAGGTGTAAGGTGTAGGGATTAATATTAAAATGTAAAAGACAATTATACCTGTAGGGAATATTTTCAAGCCTTTAAAATCCCACTAGCTTGAACCCCACTGTGATCATACACTAAAGTACGGTGGCGTCCAAAAGGGAAGAAGATAGAGCAAAAGAGTCGCCAACAAGTTTTTTTAGGAACTTGTAAACCGTTCACGAGGTGAAGGTTACACCCCTTAACGATCCAAGAGATTGTCAACTCCATAAGGTCATGAACCAAATAAGGGTTCGGGGATGAAGGTACAAATCCAACCTAAAAGAGATTGAACCTGTCCTAATAATAGGCCTCTACTTTATTCTGATCGTATTCATGTGCGCTTTTCAATTAACATGCAATCAATAGGATTACCCTAAACCTGTTTATCTATGTTGGTTGAATATAATGCACAAATAAACTATTATTGGCGATCACTTGAATTATAATCATATTAAACCTAACAAGATTATTAATTATCTTATTAAGCGTGATTACAAATACCAAATTCCCTTTAACATGCATAAAAGG